GTAGTACGAAAACCGTACCCCTACCCTAAAAAAAAAACGGTTAAAAAAAAAACAAAAGACTACTAGGAAAAAAAAAAAAAAAGGAAGCACAACCAGGCCAGTTTGTCCAAGCATCTGTCCAAGTGACTTCCTTTTTTAAAACTCCAGTGGTTCCCATCAGCTACATAATAAAACCTAAAAGTCTATGCCTAGCATTCACAGCCCTTCACAATCTGGCCTGAGGCCTCTGTTGTAGCCATATCCTCTACCATTTTCCCGAGGTACCCAGGCTAGAACGCCAGCAATAATCTCCAAATGTGGGATATGCAAGATAATCCAAAAGGTGCATCAGAAAATACTAAATTGTTACTTAACTCCATTTCTTGGAAGTTTTATAATGGGCATTGAAATTTGTGAAACAATACATATCATTAACTTATAAATAAAGCTGTGTTGGAAGTACATGCTCAAAATGCTTCTACTCTTCTCTTTTGTGAAATAAAGATGTGAAATAAAGATAACTTGGGACTAAATTTCTAGACACAGCTGGAAGCTATACACATTCTTTCTGTTTGGATTTTTCTTCTTCTGAAACTTCTGACAAACTTCTGATCATTTGGCAAGAACCAGAAGTCTTGGGTCTCATCTGGGAGAATGAGATTTGTCATTTCCTCTTGAAGGCATTCCTGATTGCCCATGCAAGGAGAGCTGGTGGTCTTCCTCTCTATCTGTCTCACTAAAACAGTATTTTAAATACTTTTTGCACAACTCACCATTCACACCTTCCAAATTGCTGGATGGCCACAAAAGGAAAGGAACCCTATGGAGTCAGAAATGCCAGACCCTTTTCTACTCAATCAATCTCCCCTAGAAAGCCTTGCTGTTCTCTCCTGGCTTAAGTGTGGTTGGTTATTGCTTCAATGAACTCACAATACCTCTTTTTCATTCAAACCTCTGCTAGAGCACTTCTCACATTCTGTTTATAATTTGCACGGCTGACTCCCCCACTTTCCGGAGAACTCAAAGAGCAGAGCTGGTTCCCAGTCATGTTTGTACGTGTGTGTACTTGATATACAGAGGCACATATCTGGTAAACGAATGAATGAGGTTCATCTATCGGATACTGAAGTTGCGGGGAGGGGGACTTTTATCCAGTTTACATATTGTAAAACTCTGAAAATCAGCACTTTAGTGGTAACTAGGGCATCTGTGCTATGCTTCCCATTCACCACGCATCTTGGTACCCTGGGTAAGCTACTTCTCTCTAGACCTCAACGTCTTTAAAAAAGACTAAGACTTAAAATCTGTGAACTCTGCTCAGAGATCCCACATACATACAAAGTTCTGGCCATTTTCCTACTTCACTTACTGCTCCAAATGCTCAGTCCCTTATCTCAGATGGATTGAAGTCTCCAAATCTTACTTCACGTTCCAAAGTCCGAGTGGGTCTGACCCACTTCTGACGCTTCGTGCTGTCTCCCAGCGCAAGGCTGGGAAAACGCTCGTCTACGTTTCGGGTTCAACTAGGCTTCAGCGGCGCCGCTCACCTGGCCACGTCTGCCCTGTTCATCGCTGTACCCACAGGTGCCGGGCTCCGTGCCAGCCACGGCTGGTCAGGGCACTGGGACAAAGAGGCGCTCTACATCGGGCGGCTTCTGAGAGTCAAGGGGACCGCGCCGCCGGCCGCGGGGGCGAAGCGTGGGTAGGGCCCGCGTCAACGACCTGGGCTGTGGGCGGCCGCGGCTCCGGCCCCAGTAGCACCTCTCTCCCCTCCCCGGGTCCGCTCATCGGGGCACCGCGGCGGCGACCCGTCGGCGCCGGACACCGCCGCGGCTGGCAGAAGCGAAAACAATGGCCGAGCCGGAAGCGAGAGAGCTCACACTTCCGGCCCCTCCAGGATCCCGGAAGTCTCGGTCGTAAAGGTGGGCGCGCGCGCCCCCCGCGCCCGGAGAGCCTGAGTCACCTTGGGCTCCGGGACCTCCCACTGCAGGCGGGGCCCGGACACAGTGATGGCAGCGGAGGTGGCACCTCAACTGAAGTCTCAGGCTGTGCACGTGCCACCCTCAGACCATTCAAGTTATGGGCTACCCTGACCCCAGCTCTGCCCCTTCCCTTCCTGGTGATCTTGGGAAAGATACCCAACCTCTGAGCCTGTTTTTTCATCTGAAAAAGGGCTGTGAGCTCTTCACTGGGCTGTGAGCGCTCAAAAGGGTAACAGACGGACACTACACAGCAAAAGGCCTGACATAACCTGAGCATTGAGTTATTATACTATATGCGATGCCCAAGGCGTTTTCACCCAGTATAAGCCTAAGTGAAATGAGCAACAGGTATGTATCTCCGTCTTACTAATGAAGAAATGAGCCCAGAGGTTGAGCCTGTAGATGTAGTTAATCTATACTAAAACAGAACCAGCACACCGATGCCCAAGTAGAGGCCCCCTAGGAAGGGCCAAGAAGCCGATAAAAAGTGAGAAAGTATGGGGAAAACATAACCTAGGTTCAGTTGTCTGGTCTGGTATCTGGGAAGCAGGTGTTACCCACGTGGACTTCACCTGGAAGGCCGGTTTGTATAGAGAAGCCGGATGTGAACAGGTCCTTGCTGCTAACATGATTGAGGAGGCCCTGGAGGCACAACCCCAGAAAACAAATGATATATGGAGCTAAGGAAAAGCCTCTGAAAGTTGAGGCAGTTAAAGGACAAATGAAAAAAAAAATGTTCAAGAAAAACTGACATTCCAAAGAGAAAGAAACCAAAGGGCAGGGAATAGAACAGCCACTTTCCAATGGAGTTAACTGTGTGTAATTTGCTGTAGCCCAACAAGTAGATCCTTTACAGGGTCCAAAGTAAGGATCTCCTGGGCTGCCCAGGCCATTAGCAATATCCCAAGGGTGTTCTGAGCTTACCAGGCCTACCTCTGGACCTGACACATATCCCTCACATCTCTGCACAAGCCAGGACAGAAACACAAATATCAGGAGACCTACTGCAGTGTTTTTACAGTCTTCAAAGAGGTCTCTTGGATCAGTCTTTGCCTACTGAGCCTGGTGAGTGGCCTTCTGATATCAAGGTCACCCTCTACATTTGGGAACCTCTCAGGGAGGTTTTGTTTATCTGTTCCTAGCTTCTGCCACTGGTCCTAGACATTGGCACTGGATGTGGCACATTGGCTCATTAAGGCCTCAGAGTCTCAGGGTTCTTGAGCAGGACATTTCTTAAGGCCAGGCCAAAATACTGTCAGCTCTGGTTTCCAGGTTTTCCTGACCATGTGTTGTCCTGCAGTTCTGACTGCCTCGTATATAAGAGACAAAGAATCTAGGAAATAAGATTGCATCTTCTCATTCTTTAGAGCTGTTTCATGCCCAGATGGTTGGCTTTCATTGTCTGTGAAGGCCACCTTGATCTGGGCAGTGTGTCCAGACTTTATAGGTTCCTCTGTGGCCAGCGCTGTGGATCTAACCTACCTTGACTGGCTTGAGTCCCAGTGGGGAAGACATGCTCCATAATGGCCTCTCATATAACACCTTGGGACATGTATATTTCGGCCAAAGACAATTCCAGAAGACCTGAGGAAGCACTACCCTGACCTCCCTGGGAAATGGTCACACTTGGTATGCAAGCTATCAGAACAGGTAACCCAATTCTATATGTCTGAAGCAGATCTCACCATCTGTCCCCAACTCTAAAGCTCCACCCATGTTCCCATCACTGTAAAGGGCACTGTCATTCATCCAAGAGCCCAAACTAAAACTAGAACCCTGGATGTCATACCTTGAGCTGGTTGACCATAGGCAAGCTACTCAACCTCTCTGTGCTGCAGCTTCCTTATCTGTGAAATAAAGATAGTACTAGTACCTAAATCATAGAGTTGATATGAGAATTGAATGAGATTATTTATATATATATACATACATGCATACATACATACATATAAAATGCATTTAGAATGATGCCTGGCACATTGCAGGTATTATAGGTGTTTTCTAGTATCATATTTCCTCTCATCTTCATACCTTGTATCCAGATTATTGCCGAGTCTTTGTCCCATTTACATGTATTAATAACAACAACAGAGCAAAAGAAAATACCTCTACCACTTACTGTTCTGCTCTGCATCACCACTGTCCCCTTCCCTGTGTTAAGTCCTGCCTGGGGTCAGGGCAACTGTGAGAAGGATGTTCCTAGGGACCTTTTGGATTTAAGGAGACCACGAAGAGAGGAACACAGTCAGGTCTGGAGATTCTTTGTCTCCAAACCCCTCAGACTTTCTGACATCATCCATGTGGATAGTCCTCTTTTCAACAGCCACGACACCCTTACATACTCTAAAAATAAGGTGGGAGAGTCCTAGAACCCCCCACCTGGGGTAGGGAGGGGGAGTTGTAATGAGACAGGAGGGAAGGGGGCAGGGCACAATCATTAAAGGAATGACACAGCAATTACACCAAGATGGCGGAAGATTCAACTCTCAGTAGACCTTAATGCCCAAGATGGCAGGAGATTTGACTTCCAGTAGAACTTGACCTTCATTTTACACTCACTGTAATATATTAGCATACTAAATGGCACTCCCACAGGCACCATGACAGTTCTGAGGCTGGTCATAAAAGGTCAAAAAGTGGGTGGTGGCCCAATTTATGGGAATCCCCACCCTTTCCCCAAACTAGTTGGAATAATCCTCCCACTTGCTAGTATATGAAATAACTGAGCTCATAAAAACTAAAAACCCTGCACCTTCTGGCCTTTCTCTTGCCTTTTGAGATGATCTGCACTCTGTCTATGGAGTGTGTATCTACCCTTACTTTAAACTAAACAGCTACCCCCATGCCTCGTGGCTTTTCTGGCCTTCTTAGATGGCCTACACTTGGTCTATGGAATGTGCATCTCTCAGAATTAATCCACTTAAAAAAATCCACTTTTACTCAACTATGGCACACTCTTGAATTCTTTCCTGTGTGAAGCCAAGGACCCTCACTTGATGGGGAACATCCTAGGGACTCAAATGGGACCTGAGACATGGCCATCCTCTCATGCCCCACATTTTCCTGTATCAGTAATATGGGCAGGAAACCCCAGGTACTGCGCTTGAATTGGAGGAGATGAGGCCCAAGCTCTAGCCAAGAGAGCAGAGACACTGTCCTATCACTTTGAAAGCTTCTACTTGCCGTTCAAGACTTAGCTGAGAAACCCCTCCTCCAGGAAGACTTCCCTGTACCCCATCTCCCCACTTGGATTAGGTGCTCCTTCCTTTGTACTCCTGTGGTGGCCTGCCATGTGCTTGTTACAGCCCCTTATTTGTCACACCATGTTAACACTGTTTCCTTGTCAGCCTCCCCCCTTCACAGTAAGCCTTATGTGGGCTGACACCGTGTCTCTCTGGTTCACAGTGGAGTCCTGAGGCATAAACTCCAAGCTTGGTTGGTTTTAGTATCTGTCTTCTTGGCTGGAAGACAAGGTCAGCCCACCTTTGTTTCCCTGGTGTTCAACACAGAGCCTGGATTAATCTCTAAGAAATGTATCCTTGATCCAGGCTACAGTGAAGGCTTTTTAAGGAGGGAAGGAATCTGATCAGTCTGGGCTGCGATTACCGGCTATATTGAGGCGCCTGTAAGGAAAGAGGTTGGGACATCCATTGTTAATCTGCTTTGCCACTCCAATGCCTCTGTAATACAGAATCGTTAGTTTGCAGGGGAGAATTTTGAGCCTTGGCAAACGTCCTGCTACCTGGATAACATTTTATTGGCAGAAAAGGACAAGGAAGGTTTTGAATTCAGATCTATAGACCTTCCTTCCTCCTCTTTTTCCTATTGTAAGATGCTCTCTCCCTCTCTCTTGCCTTCATTCATTCCTGTTCTTTAATTACTCAGATTTCTTCCTGCTAATGGTGTGTCAGGCCCTGTTACAAGCACGAGGAGGGTCACCCATAATCACAAAACATGGCCTTGCGATAGACTCGGAGAAGGGATGGTCTTGGTCTTTCTTCAGGACTCGGGTCCTGCGATCCCGCGAGGAGCCAATCCCTGGCGCGGAGACCAACGAGATACGAAGGCCTCCCAGCTTCCTAGACGGTACCGGAAGTTGCTCCCAGGGTCCAACGACCGTAGAGGAACTCGCTTCCGGCGTATGTTTGTTCAGGAACTACCCAAGTCCCTGGCAGATGTGCTGGGGTTCGAGCACGCTGCTGAGCCCCGTTCGGGTCCCCGTTGTAGGAGCCGCCTTCCCGGCCTGTCCCTGCCCGCTCTTGGCGCTGGTATTGACCCTCACTTGTGACACACATGATGAAACAGGCCCAGAGAGTGGCGGGAAATTTCCGGGGATCCCAGCACATCCCCTACGGCGTTTGGTGGGAAGGCAGTACTCTGCCTCCCGACCTAATACTGCTCACTTCGTGCTTCCTTGCCGGAGGGCACTAAACTCCCTGTACTTTGTTTGGCTAAATCCCTTTCCTGGGTGTGTAATCCTGACTCACTATCTGACCTCCAGCTCAGCCTTTGACCCTTTGTGCTGCACATCTGCCAAGTGGAAGGAGCGTTTTTAGCCTATCCTACCCACAGCTCTCAGTCACCCGGGTTGTTAGCAAGGACTCGTGGACTGCACGAAGGATCACTAGTCCAGCCACCACCTTGCTATTTTAGTGATGGTGAAACAGGCCCATGGAGGGGTTTGAACCGAGACCTCCTGCCTTCCATTTCAGAGGCCTTGTCTCTTTTTCTGACCCAGTGTCTGTGACCTTGATTCTCCTAAAGCACAGTTTTGGTTTTGGAGTAACGAACTTTATGCTCTTGATTGTAATCCTTCAGTTTCTGGGTATTATTGGACTTACGATTTGAAATCCACATTTTTCCGGAAGCATCAAACATAGACTGGAATTTTTCAGCCTTTAGGTATGGAAGACCCCCTACTCTGCCACTTACCATCTCGCATTTGCGGCTTCCGGCAAGTTATATATCCACTGAGTTTCTTCATTTGTGAAATGGAAAAACAAAAACAAAAAACAATCCATGACTGCTTACTCAGAGTTGGAAGAACTGAGTGAGGTAAGTTGTGAGTTTTGACATGTCCTGTTAAGCACTATACAAAGATAACAAAAACACTTGTGCAAGAAACTTTGGATTCAAGGAGGGAGATGAGAATAAAATTGGGTCTTGGAAATATTTAGGGCAAGGGGAAGCAGATAAAGGTGACTAACGAAAGACAGTATCTGATAGCAAAGGGAGAAGTTCAGAGAGCCAAGGAAAGTGGTATGGGCACACAACACCGTGACGGTGACACGCAGGTTGGTAAAGGATTACTAGAGACCGAGAAGAGTTTAGGAAGGTTTAATAGGGATGCTGCAATAGGTAATAGTGGGCCACACAGGTGAGAGGTGCCTGCCTGAGCCCCAGGAACGGGGGTGCAGGGTCTTTTATTGGGGGGAGGGGACTGTGCACACAAGGAGCAGGGGCTGCATGGTCAATTCGTGTGCAGGTACGATTGGTTGTAAGATTTGTCAGGGACTTCTCTGAACAATAGGTTTTACGACTTTGATAAGGGCAGGATGTGAGGCCTGTCCGCCTAAGGTACTGGGAGATGAGTTTTGTTAGAGTAAACACACATCAAGAGAAGTTGTTTTATATCTTTCAGAAATGCAGGAATACAAAGTGTCCTGCAGTGAGGAGTAGGGGTTACGGTGTCAACAGGCTCCAGCCATACAGAGAGCCCAGGGGTGAGGGTGCCAGCCCACTCCACAGAAAGGACTGATCTTGAAGGGATCAGAAGCAGCCTCAGAAGGAATAGCACTGAGTTGAGCCTTTAAGTAGGAATTAGACAGGTTTGGGGGGAGAAGGAAAAATATGATCAAAGGTGAAGAGATACACTTTTTGGAGGGGGAGGTTGTTACTTCTGTTCAGTATTGTAAAGTGTAAGGAATTAAAAAGCAGTGACCTGATCTCTAGTTTAGATGTATAAAATCTGTGTGCCCCCTAAGCTCCCATAATGTCCCCTGATGATCCTGCTTTTCCATCACTTTAAAGGACACGTGATACTTACATTTCTTATTGCTAGTTGAACAATGAGGAGAGATCCAAGAGGCTAAACCCTGATACTCCAGGGAACTTGTAAATTCCCTTCACATAGGAGACCTCCAGGATGCACTTGGAGATCTTCCAGGGGAAACCTAATCTTTTCTGAGTATCCAGAAGATTACTTCTGTGCCCCAGTAACTCCCATGTTCTACCCACTAATATTTCTACAGAGTAAGCATGCAGAACTTCCTGAGTGATTTTCTCCTTCCTCAGAGGAGTGTTCTGGAGGCCAGGCTGGATCTCTGATGAAGTGATCAGGAGTAATGTTTCTCTATTCCTCTGAAGGAGGCAGGGAGCTAGGGAATAGAAACCAGGACCTGTTGGCTAGAGACTTCTTTGAAGGTTTAAAATGAATCTGTTTAAAATTAACCTATAGTTGGTCTTAGGTGGTACTTTTGCTTGGATAATGGAAAAAGCTACCCTGAAGAAACACAAAGCCCTGACATGATCTGATTTATAAATCCATGTTGTTTAAGGAGCCCACTTGCTTGACTTGCTTGCTTAACCTAGCTTTACCACAGTGTTTGAGGGTCTCTAGTTATCTGACCTTGCTTTTGCAGAGTGTTTGTTACACAGAGCAAAACAAATTGGAAAGCATGCAGGAAAGGGGCAGCCAAAGAGAACAAGAACTATCAAAGAAGACAAATAAAAGGACCCAGCTGAGACTTAAAAGGGGGCTTTTTACATCAAGCCACCTGAGCTTATGTTCCCCCACCCGAGTGTGTTTCCACTCATGTCTTCCTCTTTTGAGCAATAAAATGGCTTTCATGCTGCCCCTTTGTCTCCACTGTGAACTCTTTCACAGCCAGAAGATAAGAACCCACTCTTTGGGGTTTTCCCCCTTTTAGCAGGCTTCCCCGCCCACTAACACCTCCAGGATTCCACATATTGGCAAACAGTACCATTGTTCAGCCACTAGGTGAACCTCGTTAGAACTCACCATAAAAGAAAAGAGCTGGTCTGTGGGAAGATAATATTTTGTGTGCTTGTGGGCTGGGAATGAGCCAGTACCCCTGATTGTCATGATGATGGGGGAAGAGACTGCCCTGGAACAGAGCCTCCCTTAGGATCTGGTTCCCCTCATTGAAGAAGGCCCCAGGGAGTAATGAGTGGTCCCTTTAACAGTTCCTCCCTGCCAGCCTGGTCAGCTAGATCTTGCTGGTTCCTATTTTGATTCTACCTTTGTCACTGGAAGAGACCCACCTCTTCAGAGGTTAACCTGCTTTCTGTTTTTGTTTCCACAGCACAATGTTAACCTATTCCCACAGTTGTGCTTGCTTAACAGAAACTAGAGCAGAAGATCACACAAGCAAAATCACAGGACCAGCCCAAGCCAGAATGACCCAAGGTGGCAAGAGTCAACTGCCATGAACTGGTTGCAGCCTGACCACAATGGCAGGACTTGCACAGATGAGACAGTGTCCCAAAGTTGCCTTGCTTCATTACCATGCTGGGATCTCTGCCCAAAGTGCAGACTTTAGCTTTGCTAGGCACAATTAGGTCATATGCAAGGGAGCCCCAAGGACTGCTCATGCTCTGGCTGTTTCTGGAAATCTCCACATCCTTCCTGAAATTCTGATGGCAGATCCATCTCTTGCCCCTTAAATGTTGCCTGCTTCACTCCCTCAAGGGGAAGGGGCCTTTAGAACAGGAGCGCTCTTGTCCTCATTCTTTGATCAATGAATAAAATTTCTGTTCCGCCGAACTTGGGATCATTCAGTTGACCCAGTGACACCTGGCAAGGATAGGCTCCAGCTGGGCCCACCCATGCAGCTGGGGCTCCGTAACAGCTTTGACCCCATTCTTCCCAGGGTGGGAGGGAACCCTGGAGGGAAGGCCTGAACACACATTTGGAGGGATGTAGGAAAACAAGACAAGCGCTCTGGGGCACGAACAGAAGGCAGGCGTCCTGTGGGTTAGGTAAAGGGTGTCGGGAACAAGCCTCCGGGCTGGGCTGGGAGGCCGCCTAGCATGGAGCTGGGGTCCGGGAGAAGGCGAGACGTCGGCCCTCCCAGCCTCCTAGAGAGGCCCTTGGCGGCGATGCGCGTGCGCGACGCCAGGTGGGTGGTACAGTCAAGAGACACACGTCGCGCGGCGCCCGGAGTCGGTGAGTGGCCCGGCGAGGAGGGCGGGTGTCGCGGGCTGCGGTGTGGGCGTGGGGTTCCCGGGTGTGGAATAGGGGCGGCGGGTGAGGCTCGGCCTCGAGGCTGTCCCGGGGTCGGGGTCTGGTCTGGGAGCTGCGGTGAGGATGTATCTGCCAGCGTTTTGCTGCCCGGGCGCCCCGGGCGAGAATTTGGAATAATAGTTTCTGTTTTATCACTTCTCCCAATTATGCAAACAAAGCGGACTCATTACAGACAATTAGATGACGCGGTGAGCGTAAGAAAGATAAAAGTAACCGCTGTCCGTTAATGTTTACATCTGGAGGCTTCCTGACAATTTAAAATTTGTGCATAATTTGGCAAACTCTTATATGTATATGTTAATTTTTTATTACGAAGTAGGATCGTACTATTGCTTTTAAAAACTTTTTTTAGTATTGTAATAAAACAATAGTGTGATAATATGTACATAACATTTACTATGATACCTAAACATTTACCATTTTAACCATTCTAAACTGCATAATTCAGTGGCACTAAATATATTCATACTATCGTGTTTTGAAAATTTTATCAACTTGCAGAATGCATTTGTTGATATATTGGTTAAAATTGGTGCCAACATTATGACAACACTAAAACATATTTGCAAGTACAAGTAAAAGAGGACGTTTTGTTTGTAGTTTATTTCATACAGTACACATTACATGAAGCTGTAAATGCTGAAGCAAGTGACATTTGTGCATAAAAACAGCAAAATATTAGGGTAATTGTGTCCGTTTTCAAAACGAAAGTGTAGTATTTATAAATCGCAGTTTTTAAGCAAAGGTAACAGCACTAACCTAAAACCATTTTGCTGTCTTCTAACTTCCATAGACCTATGAAATCAGAAAATGTTCTTCATAAAGTTAAGGGTGGCAAGGAAAGAACACCTTCCTGTTTCAAAAGTTTGCCAGTCTGACAACTCATTAATACTAGGTTGCTTAACTTGCAAGGAAGTGGTAGTTTAGGCTGTAATTTGCTTAAGGATTTCAGGGAAGTTGTATTTCTTAAGCACGTGTGTATATCTGTGTGTGTATTCAGGGACTGACAAATGAGGCTGCACTTACATATTATTATTAATGCTGAAGGAAAGCAGACAAATGTTGGTTTAAAAAGTAGGCTAAAAAGATGAGAATGTTTTCGAAGATAAATCTCAATATGTACTTAAAGGGAAACCGACAGAAGCATAAAAAATAGTAACCATGCCATCGTTAAGTTTCTGTGGCTCCTGGTTTCCAGGAAGTATTAGTGCATGAGCATTCTATGACGTCATGCTCCAGACCAAAAACACAGGTAGTGTAGTAAGATATAACTTATGTTACTTCGCTGTGTTCAGTATTTTTAATATGAGAAACAGTCTGAAAAAGTTCCCTAAGGTGAGTCATTATGTGCTCCACAGGACTGGGTTTTTGAGCTTATACTTTTCCTTCCCTGGTCTTAGACCTCTTATCCTCCTTCCTTGTTTTATTACACTACATGGCACCTGTCCTTGTCTATCTTGTAAGCTGCTCAGGGCAGTGCCTTTTGTCTGCTTAATTCACTGCAAAAACCTTAGTGCCTCAGACTTAGTAGGTGCTCAGTAAGTATTTATTAAATTAGTAAAAGGATGAGTCCAAATTGCAGATAATAGGAATCGACAGAATTTAATACCCTTATTGCCAAGTTAATACTTAATAACTAGATATTAATATTTCTAGATAGATATAAAAAACACATTAACAACTCAAACATCTTCAATTTTTAAAACTTTTTATTTTGAATAATTGTAGCCTCACAGAGGGTGTCAGAACTGTACAGAATTCTCTTATTGTCTGCTTGGTTTGCCTAAAGGTAATATCTTGCACAGTCATAGTGCAGTCATCAAACTTAAGAAGTTTACACTGGTTCATTAATTAAACTGCTGATTTATCCAGGGTGCATCAGTGTCTTTTTTAAGAATTTCTTGCTTGTATTATTAGAATGACCATCGATTTGGTTTTGTCAGATACTGTCCTGCTTAGATTGAGGGTAATGTTGGTGGGTCTTCTTCCTGGTCACGTTAATCTTGATCCAGTATTTCTGCCAGGTTTGACCACTATAAAGTTACTGTCTTTCTTTTGTAATTAGCAATGATTTTGAGGAAGCTACCTTGAGACTTTGCATAGAAAAACCCTGTTTCTCCTCAACTTTCACCCACGAATTAGCATTTCTTGGTAAATCTTGCCTGCAGCAGTTATTACTGTGATGCTCTTCCAGGAGCCTTTCCCTTCGTTTTTTGTTCTCTTAACTGAAATTCTTAATGAGGAAGAGTTGTACCTTATTTCCCTTTTGTTGTTGTGATTATATCCGTTACATCAGGGTGTGACGTTAGGTGTTTACTTTTTGGGTATAATGTGGTATAACATTATTTATTTTGTTAGTTAAATTATTCTGGCTTTGGCTGTTGGGAGCTCTTTCAAGTTGACCCTGGTTTCGCTTTATTTCATGTCCCCCAGCCCTGGAGTCAACTATTTCTCCAAGAATCCCTGGTTCCATTTATTGGAGAATGGTATTTAGAAACCAGATTTGGGCCACTCGGTTTGACTCATATCTTAACTGGCAAGTTGATATAAATATAATTTTAATATTTTAAATATGTGCTGGAAGCAATCTTCCTTTAGTGGCGATTATCTTGGAAACTTGTTTGTTTATTACCAGTGTATACAATAAACCTTATGTACCATCTCAGTGGGCGGAAAAACATGAGAATTAGAGACTCCTTAATGAGGAATTTAAAATAATTTAAAATTACATTGCCTATGAGATGATGAAGAAAGTGTCCTGAAAAACGCCCATGGGATTGCTTGGGATTTTCCCAGCATTTTCATTTGGGAATGAAACTGGGTGAATGTATGAAGCTGTAGGGGGCAAGAGGGCTGATCCATCTCAGGTTGCTCCCCAGGCCTGGGGCTCACATTTGTGGTATAATCTTAACAAGCTGATGAGTGTGAAGCTTTTCTTCTGTCCCTGAAAGCTAGCTGGGACATGGGAGGAACCCTGAGGCACTAGGATACCTGAATTTAATTGGGCAGTTTTGGCTCACTGGCCCCCATCTCTTTACTGTGCTGTGGCGCTTTCATTCTGAGTTTGAAAGGCCCAGGGAGTCATTAGCTTCTGTCTGTGTTCATGGTTGTGGAGGCTGGGCTAAAAGGGCTGGAATCTTCTGCTGTATTCACAGGCATTTGGCCTCATTTTTGTGTTGGTCTGTCTTCTCATCACCTCTTTAGAAATACTTCACTGACCTCTTGGGACATTTCTGCAGCAGCTGCTTCATGTCATCTTGGACGCTTATTTTTGGTGTTCGTTTCGCTGTGTGTCTCAACTGCCTGAGATAGGTCAGTGCCTTTTTGTTTCCCACTAGGTGCGTTTCTTCCAGATGCTTCTCTTTGGCCTCCATTTCATTCTCTTGAGCCTCAGTGCCTGTTTCTCTTTCCCCTGAGCAGGATTCTAGTTCTTTCATACTTGAGTCTCTTTTTCTTCTCCAGTGTGTTCTGCAGATTTGCCTGGGCAAGTCTCTCCCTCTTCCTCGGACTCTCAGCTTGCTCCTGAGCAGCTGTCCCTGCTCCTGCTGGTGCTGCTGGAGCTCAGGAGGACGGAGCCTGCCCCTCCTGCCCCGGGAGCACCCTTTCCTCTCCAGCCTCCTTTGGTGGTTGTGTCCTCAAGTCTCTTTCTGCAGGCCTTCCCTTATGTACCTTATCACTTCTCTATTTTCCTTCGTCCTTGTTTCCTCTGTGTGCTTATTTTCCTTACCCTGCCCCCTTCTTTCACAGCAGAGTTTCATTTCTCTGCCAAAACTTCAGCAGCCTCCTCAGCACACAGGTCCCCAAATAGTCCTTCAGTTGTCTCTCGATGGCCTTGTATCCCCGCTGTACTTTTTTTATCTGAATGATGACATGCTTTCTGGTGTGGGCCTTCTTCCCATCTCAGTTTACATCATCTCTCTTTTGTCAGTCCAGCAGCACTTGCTGAGTCCAGGAGACCTTGAATAGGTATTGGTTTGTAGCAAATGTAAGAGATACTGGCCTCTGTTTTAATTATGGGTGAAGTGAGTGATTTTTTTAAAAACTTGCTTGAGAGTTTGGGAGGTGAAGGGTTCCATGCTCTCAGGGGAAGCCTACCATCACATGAGTTGGTACACAGAGCAATGGGGCCACTTTGCAAGAGGTGCCAAGGCCTGCTGTCCATAGAATTTTCAAATGTAGCTTGAGGTAGAGGTCTAACTTCACTCTTTGCATGTGTACATCCAGTTATCCCAGCACCATTTGTTGAAAAGTGTGGTCTTGGGACTTCCGTCAAAAATAAGATGACTATAAATGTATGGGTTTATTTCTGGGCTTTTGATCTATTTCACGGAAATATTCCTATCTTTATGCTAACATCACACTGTCTTGATGAGTGCCACTTTGTCAAGTAATTTTTGAAATTGTGAATTGTGAGTCCTTCAGCTTATTTTTATTTTTCAAGTTTCTTTTTCCTTGTGCTAAGATGCTTGAATTTTCAGTGAATTTCAATTATCAGCTCATCACTATCTGCAAATTGGTCAGCTGGTTTTCTGAAAGGGATCGTGTTGAATCTGAATATCTGAGGAATATTTATCTTTTTAGACAAGAGGGAGTGATTTAGAGATTTGGACCAATCTTTGGAATCATTAATAAAACTTGAGAAGATAGAAAATGAAAATGATAAGGAGATGCATTTTTTTACACTGACTTTGTGCCAATGTGGAACGCCAGAGGAAATGCCTAACAGGCTATTAGAAGCTTGTGGTTGATGTGGAGGAGAGAACTAGGAGCTCTGAGGGTGGCATTAGAGACTGAGCCCTCTGACAGAGGGAATGGGAGGCTCTGAGGCCTCAGCCCCTGCAGTGTCCATAACCAGGGGCGGGAAGAGAAGCCAGGAATGCAGGGCAGAGAGGTGAGGGGCAGGCAGGAGGCCAGTGCTGGGGAAGCCATGGGAGAGCAAGTGGTCAGAAGTGTAGCTTCCTTCCAGAGTCACAGAGAGACGGTGGGAAGGAGCGCCCCTTCTGTTTGAGCAGGAACCTTCTGTGTCTCCA